TTAAAAAGGACTCTTCCTTTTGTGCTTTTTTTTGTATTTAAAAAGTATTATGCATCTCCATCTTTTGTGTACTTCGTGTAACATGTCATAATTGCGCATCCGGCATCCTTCATTGAGCATCTTATTCTGCTCCAGGCAGCATTCTAGGCCTGGGGGTTGCATCCGGGTGAGCAAGATGAGCCACTCTCTTGCGCCAGGGACTGCCCTGTACTTGCGGTGTGTAGCATCCACACCTTGCCTTTGTAACCTGCAGGCTTGATGGAGGACAGATGATACTAAGCATAAAGAAAACGTGTAACATATGCTACGGGATAAGGGAGAAACAAGTGGCTTGGAAGGAGATGCCAGCCAGGGCTCAGCCAGGAGCAGTGGCAGGGCCCATCAGAGGGCAGTGTGTGGTCCTGTGAGCAACTGTGGCAGCTGGAATGGGGCACTGACTCTGGAGGCTGTGACACAGGGTGCAGTGGTCACGATGAGAGGCGTGGATCAGGGTGGGGCCGGGATCTTGTGGCCTGAGCAAGCATGTAGTGCTGATGCTGGCTGTTGAGACAGGAAGTCCCGGAAGGACAAGGCTGGGGCCACTGGCGTTCAGGTTTGGACACTAAGTGTGAATTGCATGTCATGCGTCTGCTGAAGCGGTGGCTCTGGGCGCCTGTGTCGGGGAGGTGAGTGAGGGAGATGTGAACTGGGTGCTGTTGGCACCTCTGGGATTAAAGCCCTGGGACTTAGTGCACGTAGGGAGACAGGTTCCTGGAGGGTCTGGGCATGCCTCGTTTGCAAGTTAGGAGGGAAACTGAGGGAGCCAGCCTAGGAGCAGAAGCTGGGAGGTTGGTGCCGAGTGGGGAGCAGTGTGGCTCCCAGGGTCCCATGGCCCCTCAGTTCGGTTTTGGGTCTGCCAGCGCCCTTCTGTCACAGAGGATGGGACTGTTAGTTCTGTCATTTGTGGAGGCATTCGAGATCCAACAACATACTCCAGGTCCCTGGGTCACACGCCCCGCCCTCCGTCTGGCAGAGAGAAAGAACACCCTGAGCTTGGTATTCTTTTTTTTAAAACTACAGTTTGGAGGATCACCCAGAGAGAACAGAGTGACAGCAAAATGATTGAGAAGAAAGAGACAGGAAGAGCAAGCCCTGAGAGGTCCAGGAAGCAGGCGGCAAAGAGGTTTGCCAATTAATATGAAAACGCATCCTCCCTTGTCTCCTCTCTCCCCTGAAACCGGTGGGGAGGTATTAATAGAGCAGTTCTGTTGCCTAGGAAGAAAGCAAATGGGCAATTAAAACTCCAGAAAGCTGAGCAGTGCGTGAGCATCATGGATTTGAAAGCCTGCATTTTAATTGCAGGAGATATGGCCGTGCTAGCACTTGGAGGCTGCGTGTGGGGTGGGGCTCCGCTGGGGGCCTGTGGCTGGCCCAGGGCCAGGGCTGCTGGGGTCTGTGGGCATTGCCAAGGCCACCACCTGACCCTCTGCCCCTCCCATGCAGGAGTGGCTGGTGCACCAGACTATGGTTTCATCCCCACTCCCCCTGTGTCGTAGCCGCTGTGTGCCTTGTGTCTATCCTCTGTCCCAGGCTATGTGCCATGTGATGTCACATGTCTGGCCATGCCTGCTGAGAGGTATTTTCCAGACGTGATGGAAGGTCGGGCTTGTCTCAGGGGATCCTCACATTGGGTGAAGTCCAGCAGCTGACACCGAGGTATGGGGAGGGCTGTGGCTTGGCTGGATTCCAGGCCACGTCAGCCCTGAAGGGCCACCACCGACACCCTGGTTTTGTCCTCAGAAGGGCTTTTCTTCCTGGCTCATGTTCTTAAATCATGAATAACTGTCGTTTACTTGATGCCACCAGCCAGAGAAGCAAAAGAACTTTCTGGACACCCCAGCAGACCCAGCCATGCAAGATCCATGTTCAGCTGTAACGTGAATTTCACATCACCTCATTTACTCTGTGGTCACTTTCGAAGAACTTGGATAGTTTCAGTGAAAATCTCCTAAACTGCTAGAGTCCCAAAATGTGTGTCGGGTTCAGTGTTTGGATTTCTTTCTTATCTTGAGGTGTAAGGGTGGCCTGTGTTTTAGAAGACTTCCAGGCTATCAGAGGGCAGGTGTCAGAAACAGCACACCTGCTTCCAGAACAGCATCTGAAGGGCGGCAGGACAAGTGTGCACCAAGGCCCCAGGCTGTGGCAGTGACTGTTGCTTCCACCCCCCATGACACCACCCCGTCAGGACATATGCCATGACATCCTTACTCACATCAGACTCAGGCCACAGGGAGGAGAGGGGACCCTATGAGGGGCCACGAGGAGTTCTTATGGCACTTAACCCTCAGTGCAGACAGCCCACTCTTCACTCAGCAGCCTCCACACGTGACCCCAGTCCCTCCACCACTCAGGTCCAGAGGGGCTAGAGCATGGTGAACGAGCTTTCTGGAGCCAGGTGAAGGAGACTTCTAGAGCTGGTGAACAAGCTTTCTAGAGCATGATGAATGAGCTTCTAGAGCATGGTGAGTGAGCTTTCTAGAGCATGGTGAACAAGCTTTCTAGAGAATGGCGAAGGAGCTTTCTGGAGTGTGGTGAAGGAGCTTTCTGGAGTACGATGAAGGACCTTTCTAGAGCATAGTAAATGAGCTTTCTAGAGCGTGGTGAAGGACCTTTCTAGAGTGTGGTGAAGGAGCATTCTGGAGTGTGGTGAAGGAGCTTTCTGGAGTGTGGCGAAGGAGCTTTCTGGAGCGTGGCGAAGGAGCTTTCTGGAGCGTGGCGAAGGAGCTTTCTGGAGCGTGGCGAAGGAGCTTTCTGGAGCGTGGCGAAGGAGCTTTCTGGAGCGTGGTGAAGGAGCTTTCTGGAGCGTGGTGAAGGAGCTTTCTGGAACGTGGTGAAGGAGCTTTCTGGAGTGTGGTGAAGGAGCTTTCTGGAGTGTGGTGAAGGAGCTTTCTGGAACGTGGTGAAGGAGCTTTCTGGAGCGTGGTGAAGGAGCTTTCTGGAACGTGGTGAAGGAGCTTTCTGGAGTGTGGCGAAGGAGCTTTCTGGAACGTGGCGAAGGAGCTTTCTGGAGCGTGGTGAAGGAGCTTTCTGGAACGTGGCGAAGGAGCTTTCTGGAGCGTGGCGAAGGAGCTTTCTGGAGAAGAGTGAAGGAGCTTTCCGGAGTGTGGCGAAGAAGCTTTCCGGAGTGTGGCGAAGAAGCTTTCTGGAGCGTGGTGAAGGAGCTTTCTGGAGCGTGGTGAAGGAGCTTTCTGGAGTGTGGCGAAGGAGCTTTCTGGAGTGTGGCGAAGGAGCTTTCTGGAGTGTGGCGAAGGAGCTTTCCGGAGCGTGGTGAAGGAGCTTTCTGGAGCGTGGTGAAGGAGCTTTCTGGAGTGTGGTGAAGGAGCTTTCCGGAGTGTGGTGAAGGAGCTTTCTGGAGTGTGGTGAAGGAGCTTTCTGGAGTGTGGCGAAGGAGCTTTCCGGAGCGTGGTGAAGGAGCTTTCTGGAGCGTGGTGAAGGAGCTTTCTGGAGTGTGGTGAAGGAGCTTTCCGGAGCGTGGTGAAGGAGCTTTCCGGAGCGTGGTGAAGGAGCTTTCTGGAGTGTGGCGAAGGAGCTTTCCGGAGCGTGGTGAAGGAGCTTTCTGGAGCGTGGTGAAGGAGCTTTCTGGAGTGTGGTGAAGGAGCTTTCCGGAGTGTGGTGAAGGAGCTTTCTGGAGTGTGGTGAAGGAGCTTTCTGGAGTGTGGTGAACGAGCTTTCTGGAACGTGGTGAAGGAGCTTTCTGGAGTGTGGCGAAGGAGCTTTCTGGAGTGTGGTGAAGGAGCTTTCTGGAACGTGGCGAAGGAGCTTTCTGGAGCGTGGCGAAGGAGCTTTCTGGAGTGTGGTGAACGAGCTTTCTGGAGCGTGGCGAAGGAGCTTTCTGGAGCGTGGCGAAGGAGCTTTCTGGAGCGTGGTGAAGGAGCTTTCTGGAGCGTGGTGAAGGAGCTTTCTGGAGTGTGGTGAACGAGCTTTCTGGAGCGTGGCGAAGGAGCTTTCTGGAGTGTGGTGAACGAGCTTTCTGGAGTGTGGTGAAGGAGCTTTCTGGAGTGTGGTGAAGGAGCTTTCTGGAGTGTGGTGAAGTGAAGGAGCTTTCTGGAGTGTGGCGAAGTGAAGGAGCTTTCTGGAGTGTGGCGAAGTGAAGGAGCTTTCTGGAGCGTGGCGAAGGACCTTTCTGGAGCGTGGCGAAGGAGCTTTCTGGAGTGTGGTGAAGGAGCTTTCTGGAGTGTGGCAAAGTGAAGGAGCTTTCTGGAGTGTGGTGAAGGAGCTTTCTGGAGTGTGGCGAAGTGAAGGAGCTTTCTGGAGTGTGGCGAAGTGAAGGAGCTTTCTGGAGTGTGGTGAAGGAGCTTTCTGGAGTGTGGCGAAGTGAAGGAGCTTTCTGGAGTGTGGCGAAGTGAAGGAGCTTTCTGGAGTGTGGTGAAGGAGCTTTCTGGAGTGTAGTGAAGGAGCTTTCTGGAGCGTGGCGAAGGAGCTTTCTGGAGTGTGGCGAAGGAGCTTTCTGGAGCGTGGCGAAGGAGCTTTCTGGAGCGTGGCGAAGGACCTTTCTGGAGCGTGGCGAAGGAGCTTTCTGGAGCGTGGCGAAGGAGCTTTCTGGAGCGTGGCGAAGGAGCTTTCTGGAGTGTGGCAAAGTGAAGGAGCTTTCTGGAGTGTGGCAAAGTGAAGGAGCTTTCTGGAGTGTGGCAAAGTGAAGGAGCTTTCTGTAGTGTGGCAAAGTGAAGGAGCTTTCTGGAGTGTGGCAAAGTGAAGGAGCTTTCTGGAGTGTGGCAAAGTGAAGGAGCTTTCTGGAGTGTGGCAAAGTGAAGGAGCTTTCTGGAGTGTGGCAAAGTGAAGGAGCTTTCTGGAGCGTGGCGAAGGAGCTTTCTGGAGCGTGGCGAAGGAGCTTTCTGGAGCGTGGCGAAGGAGCTTTCTGGAGCGTGGCGAAGGAGCTTTCTGGAGCGTGGCGAAGGAGCTTTCTGGAGCGTGGCGAAGGAGCTTTCTGGAGCGTGGCGAAGGAGCTTTCTGGAGTGTGGTGAAGGAGCTTTCTGGAGTGTGGTGAAGGACCTTTCTGGAGTGTGGTGAAGGACCTTTCTGGAGTGTGGTGAAGGACCTTTCCGGAGAAGAGTGAAGGACCTTTCCGGAGAAGAGTGAAGGACCTTTCCGGAGTGTGGTGAAGGACCTTTCCGGAGTGTGGTGAAGGACCTTTCCGGAGCGTGGTGAAGGACCTTTCCGGAGCGTGGTGAAGGAGCTTTCCGGAGCGTGGTGAAGGAACTTTCTGGAGCGTGGCAAAGGAACTTTCTGGAGCGTGGTGAACGAGCTTTCTGGAGTGTGGTGAAGGAGCTTTCTGGAGAAGAGTGAAGGAGCCTTCTGGTACTGGTGAGGGAGCTTGGTGCTGCAGTTGTGCCTAGGTGTAATCTGCTCCCTACTGCCTTCTCTGCTGCGGGCACTCTGGTGTGCTCTTGGACAGTGGCTTCCACTCTCTGAGCCTCAGTTTCCTTGCCTGAGATTGATAGCTCTGCCTCTTAGGGCTGCTGGGAGGACGGACTCAGCACACAGGGACGCGGGGGCTGGCTCATTCCTCTGGGGTATCGGTGCCTGTGCTCTGCCAGCCACTGTCTCGGGTGCTCTGTGGGACACTCTGGACTGTGAGACCCCCCCGCTTCCCTGGAGCACACTGCCTATGACATGTGCATAAGAAAATGCTTCCAAAGTCACCAAGGTAGACACAGCTGGAAGCCTGATGTCTCAGCCTTTCCCCGTCACGGGCATGAGTGTCCTTCACTCCTCAGTCTTCCCATGTCTGCAGGACATGCCTGGTAGGATAGCCCCCACCCCTGGGGGTCCTCGGCACTGCTCCTTCTGGGCCCACTCCTGGGGCTTCCTGGAATCTGGCACTCAACACCTGGAGACGAATGGAGGCCATGTCACAGCAACACATTTTCCACATGAACAGCATGTGTGGCATCACACACAGGCACAAATAGTGACAGCAGTTGTCAAATCACCCCGGGTTTGTAAATGAGGCTAGCCTTTTTTTCTTAGTAGCATAAAAACAACCTTTCGGGCTGCTGGTGGGTTCCGAGGGTTGGGAATCAGGCAGGGATGACAGGTGTGGCTTGTGTCTGCTCCATGTACCTGGGGGCTTGGCTGGAAAAGGCTGGAGTCCTAGGAAGGTTTGTTCACTCCCAGTTACCACAGCTGGTGCTGGCTCTCGGCAGGGAAGATGGAGCTGCAGCTGGAATACCTACAGGCGGCTGCCCCGTGTCCTCAAGTCACGGCGCTGCTTCCAAGGTGAGGGTTCCAGAGACAGTTGGTGCCTTCTGCTCCATGTGAGGGTTCTAGACAGTCAGTGGCTTCTACTCTGTGTGCGGGTCCTGGAGACAGTCGGTGACTTCTCTTCCATATGAGGGTTCCGGAGACAATCAATGGCTTCTGCGCCGTGTGAGGGTCCCGAAGACAGCTGGTGGCTTCTGCTCTGTTTGAAGGTCCCGGAGACAGCTGGTGGCTTCTGCTCTGTGTGAGGGTCCTAGAGACAGTTGGTGGCTTCTGTTCCACGTGAGGGTCCCAGAGACAGTTGGTGGCTTCTGCTCCATGTGAGGGTCCTGGACAGTCGGTGCTTCTGCTCCATATGAGGGTCCCGGAGACAGTCAGTGGCTTCTGCTCCATATGAAGGGCCCAGAGACAGTCAGTGGCTTCTGTTCCATGCGAGGGTCCCGGAGACAGTCAGTGGTTTCTGCTCCATATGAGGGGCCCAGAGACAGTCAGTGGTTTCTGCTCCATATGAAGGGCCTGGAGACAGTCAGTGGTTTCTGTTCCATGTGAGGGTCCTAGAGACAGTTGGTGGCTTCTGCTCCACGTGAGGGTCCCGGAGACAGTTGGTGGCTTCTGCTCCATGTGAGCGTCCTGGACAGTCGGTGCTTCTGTTCCATATGAGGGGCCCAGAGACAGTCAGTGGCTTCTGTTCCATATGAGGGGCCCAGAGACAGTCAGTGGCTTCTGCTCCATATGAAGGGCCTGGAGACAGTCAGTGGTTTCTGTTCCATGCGAGGGTCCCGGAGACAGTCGGTGCTTCTGCTCCATATGAGGGTCCCGGAGACAGTTGGTGCTTCTGCTCCTTATGAGGGTCCTGGAGACAGTCGGTGGCTTCTGCTCCATATGAAGGGCCTGGAGACAGTCAGTGGTTTCTGTTCCATGCGAGGGTCCCGGAGACAGTCGGTGCTTCTGCTCCTTATGAGGGTCCTGGAGACAGTCGGTGGCTTCTGCTCCATATGAAGGGCCTGGAGACAGTCAGTGGTTTCTGTTCCATGCGAGGGTCCCGGAGACAGTTGGTGCTTCTGCTCCATATGAGGGTCCCGGAGACAGTTGGTGGCTTCTGCCCTGTGTGAGGGTCCTGGAGACAGTCAGTGGCTTCGGCTCCATGCGAGGGTCCCGGAGACAGTTGGTGGCTTCTGCTCTGTTTGAAGGTCCCGGAGACAGCTGGTGGCTGCTCTGTGTGAGGGTCCTAGAGACAGTTGGTGGCTTCTGCTCTGTGTGAGGGTCCTGGAGACAGTTGGTGGCTTCTGCTCCACGTGAGGGTCCTGGAGACAGTTGGTGGCTTCGGCTCCATGCGAGGGTCCCGGAGACAGTTGGTGGCTTCTGCTCTGGGTCCCGGAGACAGTTGGTGGCTTCTGCTCTGTGTGAGGGTCCCGGAGACAGTTGGTGGCTTCTGCTCTGTGTGAGGGTCCCAGAGACAGTTGGTGGCTTTATGTGTTAGTAGCTCTTGGGCAGGGTCAGAAGCTGGGGCTCCACCGGCGCCTCCTGTGCCTCGCCTTCCTGCTGTTGGCAGAGCTTTCTCTGGACTCCAGCACTTTAATTCCTACGGAGCACATCTGAAAGAAAACAGCAAACTCTTGTTTTGAAGCTGGAAGTGCTCAGTCCCCAGCGCTGGGTGTCGAATTGGTCCTGAGCCTTGATAGAAGCAGAAGCTGTGGCTGGTGCTTGCTCACTGAAGCTTGGCGACCATGGGTGTTGGTGCTCCCATCCACCGCTGCCAGGGCCTGGCGGGCAGGGGTGAGGGTGGGGGCATTGGCTCTGTTTCCTGGCCCCATTCAGCCCTGACCTGGAGGTTTGCTCCAGGGTGTGCTTGGAGCCTGCTTCTCCCCTGCCCTGTCCCAGGTTCTTCCTCCTGGTTGGAGGTCTCTGGTTTGCGTGAAGACAGTGGCATTGAGGGCCACAGGCTTGCTGACCCAGGGGGACTGTCCAGCCTACTCTGAGACAGAGGGAGGAGCCGTCTTTCACAAGGACATTTTCCGTGGTGGTCTGATGTGTCCCTGTGTATTTGGCCAGTTCTCCCTTTGGGGGCATTAGCTTTGGAGATCTTGCCCTTGTTCAGTGCTGTATTGAAATATAACTTACACATCTGTTCTTCTTTCTCGGGGAGGGTTGCTGGGTCACGTGTTTCTGTTCACAGCGAGGTGGCTGGATCTACCCCGGGCCACAGCCCGTACTTCCTGCCCACAGCCACCTTTTCTTCTACCCCAGGCCACAGCCCGTACTTCCTGCCCACAGCCACCTTTTCTTCCTCCGATTCTGCTGCTGGTGGGTTGCCTTTCCCAAGCGTGTGCTCCTTTCCGCTGCAAGTGGAAACACAGGCTAATGACACCGGAAATGGGTTTGGAGTTGGGCAGACCCGAGGTTGAACCTGGCTCCATTTGAGTTGCTGTGTCCTGAGAAGTAAACTTCTCTCTGCTCCCGACTTTGCTCAACAGAATAGAAATAACATCTGCTTCACGGAGTGAGATTAGATGGATTGAAGAATGCAGAGTGCAGGCACATGATAGAAATGGAGTACATTTTGGTTCTCCTTCCCTTTCTGCACACCTGTCCATGGTCTGACACTGCTCAGGACCCAGCCTCCCGCCCCGTCTCCGTGCTGCCCAGCTCACCTGCTGCCGCGGCTCGGGCTCTGTGTGCTCTTCCTGTGGGTCTCCCCTTTGCACACTGCTTTCTGGCCTGGGTCTTGGGGAGACAGCCCTGGGCCTCTGCTCTGCTACCTTGTACATCCCCAGGTGGTTTTTTCTCCTTTGAGATGGTGTCTCACTCTATCGCCCAGGCTGGAGTGTGTGGTGCAGTTTTGGCTCACTGAAACCTCCGACTCCCGGGTTCCAGCAGTTCTCCTGCCTCAGCCTTCTCGGAGTAGCTGGGATTACAGGCTAATTTTTGTAGTTTTAGTAGAGATGGGGTTTCACTGTGTTGGCCAGGCTGGTCTCAAACTCCTGACCTCAAGTGATCCTCTGGTCTTGGTCTTCCAAAGTGCTGGGATTACAGGGGTGAGCCTCTGCGCCTGGCAGTTTTCCCTTTTCTTTTCTCCCCATCTTTAATTGTGGTGCTCGCTGGTATCTGGTTCTCCTGCACTTCTGCACATCCTTTGCAGCTAGGGGAAAGGCATGGCAACTTTTGGCCAGTGTGCCAGGTGTGAACGTCCTGCGTCACTTCTGGGTGCGAGCTCCTTTTGAGTCCTCTTCGTGCCACCACAGGCAACGCAGAGGCAGCAGCTTCCCTCTCAGCGTAGGTCGCAAAATGAGGAGACAGGAGCGGCCAGGAGGAATGGCCAGGGCAGGAGAGGGCCCTGGTTGTTTAGAGCCCCAAGGGTGCCTCCGTGTTTGTTGGCACACTGTTACCTGGGGCTCAGGCCAGTGTGCTGTGCTGCTACTGTGGGGAAGGAGGCCAGCCCAGCGTGGCGGTGCTGAGAGGCGCATCTGCTACATGGACCTCTTAGAATGCCTGTGCCCCGCCAGAGCCTCACTGTGGCGGCAGTGGGCACCGAGGGCTGGGGCAGCTGGCCTTCCTGACTCCTCAAAGTGGCAAGGACTGGTACACTTCATGTATTCTCCAAATGAGGACTGCACAAACGGGGACGACTAAATTGGGTTGGGGGGATTTAAAGCAGAATAAATGAGCGAAAGAAAGCAGAGTTGGCATTAAGTAAAAGGACAGATCACTCCTAGGTGTGCAGGCTACTCCGCTGCTCTCCAGCCGACCGGCATTGTTTAAAAATAGCAGGAGCCATCCTCGAAACTGATGGTTTCCTCCTACTCTGTGCATTTTGTTTGGGTGGTGAGAGTGGCACAGTCATTAACAAGGCAGTGAGGCAAGTCAGTGGGAAGCGTGGGGCCTCTGGACCTGCTCCCTGTTCCTGGAGCACGGAGAGCACTAATGGGCACCTGCCGGGCCCAGCCCTTGCAGTGCCGAGGTTCAGCCAGAACCGCGACAGGCACCGGCCTGGTGCAGACTCTTGAGCACACACTTCAGTGGCTGTTCCCTGGGCAACCGAGTCTCCGCCGCCAGCTGGCTCTGCCCCCAGAGCCTGTCAAAGCATGCACCCTGCAGGAGCCAGCGCAGCAGCCCGCGCGGCCGTCTGTAGGCACCGATGTTGGCGCGTTGGAATTGGGTTTCAAGGTTAAACACAAGGGAGTGTGTGGGATGACTGACTAGATGAAGACCCAGAGACCGCAGTCCGGGTGTGTTTATTATGCACAGGTGGGAGGGAGCGAACAGGGAAGAAAGGAAAGGAAGCGCGTGGCTCATTGAAGCCTGCGGGGCTGTTTTTTGTTTGCTCCACACAAAAGGCTGGAAAGACAGATTTCTTCACTTGGTCTGGGGTGAAAGCATGTTTGGTCCAGGGCAGCTGCTAGCCATGTCCACAGAGCTGTCCGTCTTCAGGCCTCTGTGCCAGCTGCATGGAGGGCAGTGCCCCCGCCAGACGGAGGCCCGGGGCTAGTGGTGGCTGCAGACACCAACCCAGCAGGGAACTGACTTGGCTCTCAGGTTAGCTGGGGTTGTCCTAGAATTTTCATAAACTCACTTATTTGATCTTTGCAGGGATTCCCCCTTCACTCGATGGCGGTGCACTTTTTTGTAGCATTGAATATAAAATTCTCACTTCCATGCATGCGGTGCCCCTTTTAAAGCGTTCTGGTATTCGAACTTGGTATTTCCACCTAACTTTCGGTTCCGTTCACGTGAGCCCCTCTAGTGCTTAAAAAGGGTCTCTACCAACCCGAGAAACTTTGGTTTTAGTCTCTCATTTTTTTAAAAACTACTTTTTGTTTCTGTTTTTTTTTTTCTCTCTGATCTACCTATAGTAATTTGAAATAAACATGGTTACATTTGAAAAGATGGAAAATTCAAATAATTTATTTCGAAATCAAGTTTCAACATAAAATTTTAATTTGGGATGGTTGGACGGGTTAAAATAAGCATATTCAGGATTTCACAGTCCATCTGATGAAGGTAGATGCTGTTTTAGCATCGACCGTCTGAAGGGAGCTGGTGAGGGTCTGCCGAGTCCTTCCGGGCCTACGCTCCCGTGGGTGTGGGTGTTGCTCACGAGCACTGTTGGATAGTAGTGACTTTTTGGAGCCGCTGACTAAATTTCTGGATTTTTGCTGAGCTTTTTCGTCTCATCACTCCGATTGCTCTTTCCTGTGTGCCTTTTCCCGTCGTTTTGCTTTGCTTTACCTTTCCGTGAAACAGGTGCAAGTATTCCTAGGCACCCAATCCCTGGGTCTGTCTTTTGAGAAGTGGTTGCCAACTAGCCCTTGGTTCTCAGGAATCATCCACACTCGCTGAATTTCTGTGAACAAGTCTCCAGCCTTCCCGGAGGGAGGCCGAGAAGCAGGGTGGGTCCCAGCCGCCGCAGCCAGAGGGCACTTACTTTTGGGCCAAGAAGAAATCTGACCTCCCTAACTTTCAGGTTGTGAGGGGCTGTTTGCATCCACTCAGCAGTGTGAGCCAGACCACGAGTACAGAAGACTAGGAAGTGTAGCGCGCATCCCACCCAGGAAGGGAAGGACAGGGCGCTGTCCCCTGTGAACATGGGTTTGTGTGGGATGGGAGTGGGCGTGGTGCTTGGGTTCTCGAGGACCATGTAGGAGACAGCACCCCAAGCTGGAGGCCAGGGACAGAGGCTGAGACACCAGAAGGAGGGAGAGCAAGGGGAGGAAGAGTGCTAGGCAGCACTAGCTGCACAGGTGGCTCCGGAAATGACCACAGGAGGAGGCTGTGTTGTGGCAGGGCTCCTCGTGCCCACACCTCTGCCTGGGCGCGCAGCTTCTCATGACCTGGGGCTGAGAGGAGCTGCCTGTCCTTGAGTGCCCTGGAAGGCACAGCTTTCAGTGTGGCACTAGCTGCGTCCCCCTGGGTGCCACCACCTCTAGGAGCCACAGTGTGGAGGTCATGTCAGTGACCTCTCATGGAAGTGAAGGACAGGGCTTCCCCTAAACAAAACAGGCTTGCCGATATTAAAATCAGAGCAGATGCTTGCAGCTGACGGAGAAAAGGCAAGCTCATTTGCTCACAGCCGTGAGCCCCTCCTGTCTACAGGTGTGGTCAGGGTTGTGAGCACGTTGGCCAGAGCCGATATTCCCCTGGAGCAGGTTAGATTCAAACTGGGGGAGACAAGCAGGGAGGAGGGGCCAGCCTGCCCAGTGCCACTCACCCACAGCCACCCTGTTTCTCATCCCAGGGTCATCCCAGGGTGCAGCTCATGCGTGAAGGCACCTGGAGGCTGGGCGAGGAGTTAGGAGACTGGGTCCGAGTTCCTCTGTGTGCGGGAGGGAGCGTGGAGCCTCCTTCAGGTTTTGTCCATGTGTCTGTCACTGTGGGTAACCACCGAGGTGCTTTATAGCCTGTGAGGCTCTGGACCCCAGTTTAAAGGGGCGACACAGAGTGGTCAGTGTGGAAGGAAGAATGTTTTGGAATTATTGCTGAATTTCCCCTCTTTTCCCCAGTTAAAGAATCAGAAAGGCATAAACCACAATGCATCCCTTTCCTCTTTTAAGGTGATTACAAAAGAAATGGTGAACCAGAACAGGCTCCATGGAAGTAATATCAATAGATAAAAATGGAAAGATAAATAGTGAAATGTTTCTTTTCTCCCTCCTTACAAAAAGCTACTTGCAAAACTGCAGCTGATGTACTCCAGGCTGCGCCGTGGTGACTGGTGAGCAGGACGAGGTCCTGTTACATTCTTTTGCCGGAGAAACGGGTATAAGTGAGAGGCATTTGAGTCCAGTGAGTTGTACGGTGTGTGACGTAACGCACCTCAGCTTCCCAGGTTGTGTCTGACATCACGTCCCAGCGTCGGTTCCCCTCACAGCCCTGCGCATTGGGTCAGCAGAGCCCGACCCTCGTGCCTGGGCGTTCACCGTCCACACCCTCTTTAAACTCGCTTCTGTCGAGTGTCTGACTTCTTTCCTGGGCTGCATAGTATATGCATTTATTTCCATCTCATTGAATATTTTAGAAATCCCTAGAAGAGAGGCGTTGGTATCTGTCTGCATTTTGCAGTTGAGACTGAGGCTTAGGGACCGTAGGGCCACCTTGCACCAGGTCCCAGCTGGCAGGCCACAGGCGTGGATTCGGACCTTGCCTGGTGTGCTATGTGGCCCTGCACCCCTGTATCCTGCGCTACCTCGCTGGGCTCAAGGTGACAGACTATTCCCGCCTCTTCCTAGTATTTACGGACACATATGTTTTTACAGATAAATTATGTCGATTGAATATTTTTATAAGAGGGCATTTTTGATACTCCAGTCCGGGAAAAAATATTGCAAACCTAAATACATCAGTCAGAAAATCATTATATTCCCGAGAATGAAGGGATGAAGATTTTTTGGAGTGAGGGTGTTAATTAATCTCTGACATGGCCGGTTGCCAGACTAGGTGTGTAATGTCAGTTTAAACCCGCCTCCTAAGGTGTGCTATGCGCACAGCTGCTTTAGCGAATGCTGGCGAATCCACATTTTCCTGTTAGTGAGAACATGGATGTCGGGTCACTGTCTAGAAAGTAGTTTGATGTCAAGCAGGCGTCACTGTTTTCTTCTAGAGGTATTTTTAAAAATGGCTTGATGTACTCAGAGCACAGGTGAACTCACTCATCAACCAAGATTTCTGCTGTCTGGCAGACTGGTTCTGTTGGCCGGAGGTGAGGCTGATGGGCTGGTGGGAGATTGGACAGTGTCCCTCATGACCCCTTCCATGCATAAGGCAGCCACTGTGGGGCCACTCATGAGGGTGCCAGTTATGGGGGTGTTGGAGAAGACATGGCTTTCCGTCTGCCTGATCTTCTGGGTGTGTCTGAATCCTGTATGTAGGTGGGTTTTGGAGGTGGGCAGACCTTGCTGATGGTCTGGGGGCCCTGAAGCAGACTCAGTTGGAGGGGAAGACCCCTCCCCTTAAAGAAATGGCCTCTGGTAGAGCAGGCGAGGCCAGGCTGACCTCAGGGGTCGGAAGTCATGAGGAAGGAACAGGGTGAGCTGGGCCTGGATGCCCCCGATCTGCTCCTGCCAGGAAGCCATGTGGGACTGGGGAGGACGGGGCTTGGATTAAGGAGAGATGGTGCCCTGGGCAGAGCGGGTCTGCATGGAGGGAGCTCTGCATTCTCTCAGAGAGCTGGCAGGCCACAGGGTAAAGACAGGTTCTTCTGGCTCCTGCAGAGAAGTGGTAGCTTAGAGGAGGTTCCTGTCTGGTCAGCGTGGGGCCCATGGTCCAAGGGCAGTGTGTGTTGACAGTGGCACAGCCACAGCCTGTGTGTGGTATGGATGGCAGCTGCCGATGGGGCAGGATGGGGGGATGCATATGGCCTCTGCTTGCGTCTCCCCCTCCTCTCCTTTCCATCGCAGCCTCCCCTGGGCCTCTAGGGCCTGCACCTCTTACCTGGAGTCCCCACAGACAGACAGCGAGCCTGGGGAATAGCAGTGGGGTCAGGTGAAGTTCAACCACAGGTGGTACACTCCTGCTCTTCCCAGGGATGATTCGGGAGGGCAGTTCCCTGATAGGCAGGCCTGGGAGCAGAGGGTGGGCTGGGGCCTGGAACGGGTCACTGGTGCAGCCCTGGCTTGCTTGTGCCCCCTCATCCAAGAACGGCTGGCAAACCACAGGGACGGGCCAAGGAAGCACAGCTTGCCTAGTGCCACCCGAGGGCTCGAGTCCACCGTGAAACATGCTTTCTCATTTATCTCACTGCCATCCTCCCCGCAGCCTGAGGGATGCGCAGATGAGGCAGCAGCTTTCAGGGCTGAGGTGCAGCCGACCACAGGCAGCACCCAGCAGGGACCCTGCTCATGCCCCTGGCTCCTCGCAGCAGCAGTGGGCGTTACTCAGCCTACTCAGGTGGGCCACTGAATTAACGAGAACAGGAACCAGATGAACAGCGGGGGGAGTAGTTCCCACGGCCTGGGGCTGTGACCAGGATAAGTGAGTTCCTATTTGTAAAGCACGTAGGTGAAGAAGTCAGTCAGGGGGAGATTGGTGTTTGCAGAATGATCTCGTCACTCATCACCTGGTAAGGTTTCGAAGCTGCTCGTCTTTGATATGGGGTCCAGGCATTTCGGTGGACCTGAGTATCCCTCATGTAATCGCCCTACTTACCTAAGTGATTTCCAGAAATGTCATCTGCAGTTTCCAGCTTTAGTTTCAATGCACTGAATGGTGAACAGAGACGCGTGGCGCCATGTGAGTGGATCTCTGTGGTATCCCCCGCAACATTGGACTTTGTTTTGCCTGCATCTAAGTGGGCAGGGTTTCTTAATAACTTGTTTTTGCTGAGACTCTAGCCCAGTCAACTTAGTTTTCCTGGTACCTTCTCTTTCTTTTACTTTTTTAATTAGACTATTGGGTTACACAGTACCCGTAACTGGCAGACGGGTTTGCTCCCTGGTGACTCCTCTCATGGTTTAAGGGATTACTCAAAATATAAAGTGTCAATTTAGACATTTCAGTAAATTGTCAATGTAGGTGTTTGCATTTTAACCTAACTGTATGGATGCTATTATTTTTCATATTGCTCATGCTCAGAGTTGTGTTCCTTGCTCAAACAACCAGAACTTAGACAAAACTACTGACTCAGCGCACGTCCACTGAAAATGTTATCTGCTGATGAGTGACATCTGTAGATCTAGAGGAAACCTTTCTAGAGCATCCTAGCACAGTTCTGCAGATGCGGAGGAGCAGCCATATTTATCCTTTTTCAAAACCAGCTAATATGGAGGTAGTGGACAGTGGGCCGGCCACAGTCTGAGACCAAGTGGTACATGGGCCACTGTGCTCCCAAACCAGCAGGAAGACGCCAGCTTCGTGTGGTGCCCATGGCCCAAGGGTGCTGGGTGCAGCAGGAAAAGAACATGGTGGCTGGACTCCTGACCATGTTAGAAGAGCAGTCTTGCAGAAAGACCGAAGCTATACTAGATATGGTCTACCTCTTACATGTTGTAAGAAAAAATTATTTTTAAAAGCAGTATTTTGCATGAAAGGAGATTTCAGATAAAAGTATTTATTCAAGGTAGGCCCCCACATCATCCCATCTCTGTAGATGAATATTTATGCATCAGGATAGCTAATTATGTTGCCAGTAAATCGCCAAAGAATAATTTTTAGAAGTCTTTGGTACAGCGTTTGTAACAGCGAGGAAGTAAACAATCCACTTTAGATTGATTTTTGCCCTAAATGGGCGCGGTGACTCAAGCCAGCACTTTGGGAGGCCAAGATGGGTGGATCACAAGGTCAAGAGATCGAGACCAGCCTGGTCAACATGGTGAAACCCTGTCTCTACTAAAGATACAAAATATTAGCTGGGCATGGTGGCGCGTGCCTGTAATCCCAGCTACTCGGGAGGCTGAGGCAGAAGAATTGCCTGAACCCAGGAGGCGGAGGTTGCGGTGAGCCGAGATCGCGCCATTGCACTCCAGCCTGGGTAACAAGAGCGACACTCCGTCTCAAAAAAAAAATAAATAAATAAATAAAAATTGAGTACACGTATCTTGAAGGTTTACACATGTTCCTATGACATTGCATGGTTCCTTCACTTTAGTGGGGTCCTTTCATTGTGTACCCTATTGTTTTGTAAATTTTTCTAACACATATTTGCTTAAGGTCATTAGTACATTGGCTGCAATGGAATAGAAGAATAAATCGACTTTGAGTCTGAAGCCGTGAGTTCTATTTTTGCTCTGCCATTAGCGGTTGTGGGACCTGAAGCAAGTTATCCAGCTGTCACGGGAGCAATTTTCTCCTGTGACCTCCATAATAATCTTCTTGAGTCTGTCATCTTTGGCAGCTGGATTATTATTAGTGGTGTTTGCATTATAGGATTTCAGCACGTCTTCCATCCCATCTTTTCACATTTAGCCCTGTGTTTGCCGCCTCTCACAGGGAATGTCATCGTGAAGATGCAGTTTTTCCCTAATCTTTCATTCTCTCTTGGTAGTTTTAGACATTCTGATATTGATGTGGAGTCACTTTTCCATAAAAGAGGGGACATCGGGCCGAGCACGGTGGCTCAAGCCTGTAATCCCAGCTACTCGGGAGGCTGAGGCAGGAGAATTGCCTGAACCCAGGAGGCGGAGGTTGCAGTGAGCTGAGATCGTGCCATTGCACTCCAGCCTGGGTAACAAGAGTGAAATTCCGTCTCAAAAAAAAAAAAAAAAAGTGGGGACATCAGTTCAAAATAAAATATGATTGTTTAATAGTAATCCTTTGAAATATATGAAGATTTTAACCGTCTCTTGTATGGGTTAATTTTTATCTTGCATTTATATTTGAGAAAAATGTTGTGTTTGATTCTTTTATAACTTTCCTATTTCTTTTTCTACCTGGCTCTATCAGTTATTGAAAGATTTAAAGTCTCCCACTGTGATATTGGATTCCTCTATTTTTATTTTTTCTGTCAGTTTTTGCTTTCTATGTTTTGGTGTAATTTTATTAAGGGCATATACGTTGATAATTCTTTTGTTTTTCTGGTGAACTGAACCTGTGTATTATTCAGTAGTGACCCTTGCTCCCTTTGCTCCCATCTATTTTGGCAGATATTAATATGGCTGAATCAGCTTTCCTTTGTTGCTTAGCGTAGCGTTCTCTGTTCTCTGCCTTTCTGTGTCATTGTTTTAGGGCTATCTCTTGTAAACAGTGTTTTGCTGATTTCTAAAACATTTAGTGTAACAGTCTCCAGCTGCTGTTCATTATAGTTACCGTGACTACTGATTTACTCGTGATAATTTCTGTCATTTTACGCTTTTTTGTTTTTGTTTTTGGTACTAATTTCTTTCATCTTACTTTATGCTGCTTTGGAGAGTTTTGGTCCTTTCCTGTTCTTTTGAGTGAATTGTGAATCTTGCTTGTGCTTCATTTCTCCCCCTCTATTATTTTAGAAGTTTTATGTTCATTTTCTACTCTTCATATTTATCATGAAATCTGAAATTAATTATTCAGTGTTTTTCTATTCAAACAATCTGAAAACCTAAGAACCTTTTATGTCTATTTTAATCCCCCTTTGCTATTTTCTTGGCCAGTATTTTAGTTTTACTTTTCGGTAGTTTTATTAATCTCAAAAGTAAATATTACTGTTATCATTAGTGTCACACGTATTTAGATGTTTTCTAGTTTTGCAATTTATTGCAAAACTTTTTTCTTAGAACCTTGAATTTGAGACCTTTCTTCTGGGATCACTCTATTTCTCAAGTGTGTCCTTAGAAGTTCCCTTAGTGAGGCTTTTGGAGGTAAATTCTCATGGTTTATAAAACAATTTTCATGTATACCCCAAGTAGGGGTCTCATGGCTCGATTTGCCTCAACGTGCCTTTAGCTTTGAGTATGTAGCCGGCTGGACAGTTCTTACACGACGTTTTCTTCTGTCATTTTCTTGTGTGCTGTCTCTGCAGTCCACTGCTGCTCTTGGGAAGCCAGCTGCCTAACTGTTCCTAGCACTGGAAGCTTGAAGCTTCTGTCTTTGTCTCTGGCGTTCTGCATTTTTGCTACAGTGCGTCAGGAATGGTTGTATTTTAGATTAAGCTACTTGGAGATTGCTTCCCGAGTCAGAGTCGTTTATTGACGTTGTGTCTGCTGTTTTCTGTTTCTCCTGTGCACCCCGCTTAGGGGTGCAGCAGATGATCCCAGCCTTTCTCCCACACTCCCTTGCCACACTCTCTCTGCTGGGTCATGCATACTGTCTTCACATCTTTGTTCCAAATCATTAATTCTCAGCAGTTATTTCTAATCTGCTGTTAAATTGCCCACCAAGACTTCTATTTCAACAGTCATAACTTCTAGACACTTTTGTTTTAAGAAGATTCCTGGTAAATTGTGATAGTCTTTTGTCACCTGCTCATAATCCAGCTTTTATTCCTTGGAACATTGTGATTCTAGTGTCAGAAGTTGTTGGAATGCTAATTCACTCTGTTCTCTTGGCCTGCCCTCATTCAGGCCACTGTCTTCATGGCTTGTCCTGTGTCACAGGCTCCTATCAGGCTGCTGTAGGTTGCTGGGGCCTCCAAGAGGCTGGCCTGTGGGTACAGTCCTTCACTGACAATTCTCATTTGTTTTTGGAAAATGTCCAGGGTGGCCAAAAACCCAGAACTTCTTTAAGTTAAAAGGCTTAAGATTTCCTGGACCCCACCAGTAAGTTCAAACCCAAACTTTTGTAAAGATCAATGCAGTTTTCAGGTTCTCAGGGTAGACTCTATTTTTTACAAGAGCCATCGCTAAGATAAACAAGTGGGTTTTTTTTTTTTTTGACATTTTTCTATGCATGCCAGCTGGAGAATAATGTTTTCTAGCTCTTTCTTGTAATGAGGATGTGGGTTTTAAGGAGCCTCGGTTTTTGCAGGGTTCCTAGTATCCCCCTCCTTACCTTTTGTGGGTCAAAATCTCACTCTCCTGTTCTCTGTGTGACCTTTATTTCCTAGCAGAGGCCAAGCTTGAAAGGGTAACCAGGGTTTAGCATTCTGTTTTCAACAACAGCTTCATTATGTGCTCTCAGTCATGTTCTTCACTTCCCTGGAAGCATAGCTGTGCGTTTAAATATATATCTCAGTATTCTAGAGAGGCATGGTTTATGTGTGCGTGTGTGTGTGTGTGTGCGTGCGTGTGTGTGCGCGCGTTCAGAATTAGCTGTATTGCTAGAATCCAAAGTCCTGGAATGGACTGGTACATGAAAGAGAAGGTTAATAAAGATACTGTAAGGTAAAATCATCTCAAATGCTTATTCCATCCCTGGGCTTTACATGAAAACATCAAACTGCCTGGTAGCTCCTGACATCTCAAAAGTGGCACCATCCAAACTGGTGTCTGAATTACTCATGTCCGTGGATGGTATCGCCACTGGTGTAGATTCTAGGAGTGCTTGTCAGTCGGGGTCACAAGCCGCTCTAGACACAGGCACACCTCACCTCACTGCATGCTGCTCTATTGTGCTTCTCAGACATTGTGACTTTTGCAAACTGAAGGTTTGTGGCAACCCCATGTTCATCAAGTCTGTGGGCCCCATTTTTCAATGACATGAGCTGGCTTTCGACACCACGTCCCACTGTGTGGTGCGTTTTGGTGATCGCACATTATTTCAGGTTTTTCATCATTATTGTATCTGTTCCGGTGATCCGTGGTCAGTGGTCTTTGGTGTTCCTATTGTAATTGTTCTGGGCTCCACAAACTGTGCCCATGTGAGATGGCAACATGAGTCCATAAATGTCTGGGTTTTGAATGCGCCATCAACCTGCAGTGTCCCGTCTTTCTCCCTTTGCTCAAGCCTCCCTATTCCCTGAGGACAACAATATTGAAATTAGGCCAATTAATAACCCTATAATGTCCTCTAAGTGTTGAAGTGAAAGGAACATCTCTCACTTTAAATCAAAAGCTAGAAATGATCAAGCTTAGTGAGGAAGGCATTTCAAGAGCTGAAGCAGGCCGGAAGCCAAGCTTTATACAGCAGTTGGCCAGGTTGTGAATGCAAAGGGAAGGTTCTTGAAGAAATTAAAAGTGCTACTCCATTGAGCACATAAATGGTAAGAAAGCAAAACAGCCTTATTGCTGATAATGGAGAACGTTTTAGTGGTCTGGAGAGAAGATCCAAATCATGCACAACATTCTTTTAAGCCACAGCCTAATCCAGAGCAAGACCCTAACTCTCTGTATTCCGTGAAGGCTGAGAGGAGTGAGAAGGCTGCAGAAGGAAAGTTCGGAGCTAGCAGAGATTGGTTCATGAGGTTGAAGGAAAGAAGTCACCTCTGTAGCCTAAGAGAACAAGGTGAAGCAGCCAGTGCCGACGGAGAAGCTGCAGCAAGTTCTCCAGAGGACCCAGCTGACATCACGGATGAAGGTGGAACACCTCAGAACACAACAGATATTCAGTGTCCTTGAAATAGCCTTATGTTTGAAGACTGTAAGCCTTCCAGGACTTTCACAGGCAAAGAGAAGTCAAAGCCTGGCTTTAGCGCTTCAGAGGATAGGCTGACTCTCTCATTAGGGGCTGATGGAGTTGTTGACTTCTGAGCTGAAGCCAATGCTCATTGAGCATTCTGCAAAACCTAGGCCTCTTCAGAATGATGCTGAATCTACTCTGCCTAGTGTCTATAAATGGAGCAACAAAGCCTGGTTGACAGAACATCCATTTAGAACATGGCTTAGCGAATATTTTAAGCCCCCTGTTGAGACCTACTGCTCAGAGACAGATTCTTTTGAAAATCACTGCCCATTGGCAATGCACCTAGTCATCCAAGAGCTCTGAAGGGGATGTACCAAGGAGACAGATGTTGTTTTCATGCCCGCTAGCACAACATACGTTTTGCAGCCCATGGATCAAGGAGTAATTTCAACTTTCAAGTCGTATTATGTAAGAAACACATTTCTAAAGGCTGTTGTCGCCACTAATAGTGATTTCTCTGATGGGTCTGGACATAGTAAATTGAAAACGTGGAAAGGATTCATCATTCTAGATGCCATTAAGAACATCTGTGACTCACTGGAGGAGGTCAAAATATTTATTGACATTAATAGGAGTTTGGGGGAAGTTGATTCTGACCCTTGCGGATGACTTTGAGGGGTTCAAGACGTCCATGGAAAAACTGACTGCAAATATGGTGGAAATAGCAAGAGAATGATAATTAGAAGTGGAGCCTGAAGCTGGTACTGAATTGCTGCAATCTCATGATCAATCTTGAATGGATGAGGAGTTGCTTCTTAAGGATGAGCAAAGGAAGTGGTTTCTTGAGATGGAATCTACTCCTGGTGAAGTTGCTGTGAGCACTGTTGAAATGATAGCAGAGGATTTAGAATATTACATAACTCAGCTAATAAAGCAGTGTTAGGGTTTGAAAGGACTGACTCCAATTTTGAAAGAAGTTCTGTGCATAAAGTGCTATCAGACAGCGTCGCGTGCTAGAGAAGTCTTTCACGGAAGGAGTCCATAGATGTGGAAAACTTCATTGCTGTCTGATAAACTGCCACCTCCACTCCATCCTCCAGTAGCTGCCACCCTGGTCAGTCAGCTGCCATCAACATCACGGCAAAACCCTCCATCAGCAAAAGGATGACCACTCCCTAAAGGCTCAGGTGACTGTTAGGATTCTTTAGCAATAAAGTATTTTGAAATTAAGGTATTCCCCGTAGCTTTTTAGACGTTTTTGGACACTTACTTGACTGAATACTAGTGTCAGCATAACTTTTACATGCACCGGGAAAACAAAAAATTCACGTGACTCTCTTTTTGACATCTTAATGTTATCGTGGTGGCCTGGAACCAAAGCTGCGGTAAGTGTGTTTCAGAAACAGAGAGAGAGGGAGGGCCATCCAGGGAGGAAACACACATCTTCCTATGTTTCAGAGAGAGGGAGGGCCATCCAGGGAGGAAACACACATCTTCCTGTGTTTCAGAGAGAGGGAGGGCCATCCAGGGAGGAAACACACATCTTCCTATTTTTCAGAGAGAGGGAGGGCCATCCAGGGAGGAAACACACGTCTTCCTGTGTTTCAGAGAGAGGGAGGGCCATCCAGGGAGGAAACACACGTCTTCCTGTGTTTCAGAGAGAGGGAGGGCCATCCAGGGAGGAAACACACGTCTTCCTGTGTTTCAGAGAGAGGGAGGGCCATCCAGGGAGGAAACACACGTCTTCCTGTGTTTCAGAGAGAGGGAGGGCCATCCAGGGAGGAGACACACGTCTTCCTGTGTTTCAGAGAGAGGGAGGGCCATCCAGGGAGGAAACACACGTCTTCCTGTGTTTCAGAGAGAGGGAGGGCCATCCAGGGAGGAAACACACATCTTCCTATTTTTCAGAGAGAGGGAGGGCCATCCAGGGAGGAAACACACATCTTCCTATTTTTCAGAGAGAGGGAGGGCCATCCAGGGAGGAAACACACGTCTTCCTGTGTTTCAGAGAGAGGGAGGGCCATCCAGGGAGGAAACACACGTCTTCCTGTGTTTCAGAGAGAGGGAGGGCCATCCAGGGAGGAGACACACGTCTTCCTGTGTTTCAGAGAGAGGGAGGGCCATCCAGGGAGGAGACACACGTCTTCCTGTGTTTCAGAGAGAGGGAGGGCCATCCAGGGAGGAGACACACGTCTTCCTGTGTTTCAGAGAGAGGGAGGGCCATCCAGGGAGGAGACACACGTCTTCCTGTGTTTCAGAGAGAGGGAGGGCCATCCAGGGAGGAGACACACGTCTTCCTGTGTTTCAGAGAGAGGGAGGGCCATCCAGGGAGGAGACACACGTCTTCCTGTGTTTCAGAGAGAGGGAGGGCCATCCAGGGAAGAAACACACATCTTAGTTACCGTGGGAGGCAGTGACCACCCCCACTTGTAGATGCGAAAGGAAAAGGTAATGAACCTGGAGCTTGGAGGAGGTGCCCGCAGAGCACACACTGGCACATGCCGACACACACCAGGCCCACTGGGGGAGCACTGGCATCCGCAGAGCAGGTCTTCTGAGAGCCTGTTTGGAACTGAGACCCTGCAGTGAGCCTCTGAGTGGGCACAGATGGGCCTGCACTCTCAGCCTGAGCCCCGACATCCCCTCCTTGTTTTGCCTCTGCCCCGTGCTTTCCAAGTCCTGGTTATAAGGGCAAAATTGAGGCTACTGTCCTTAAATCAATAAAGATCCATATCTCTGCCCATCTGGTCCACGTGGACATCCGAGTGGCCTGCTCAAAGTCTTGCCTCCTCGTAGGATTTCTCCTTACCACTTGTTGTCACAGACACTTCTTCATGGGGCACTTCCCGTTGGCTGCAGTGCATGAGGCGGCACTGTGTGCAAGCCGACACCTGCGCTCCCCAGCCGAGGGCCAGTGCTTCTCTTCATTCGCGGTGCTGGGGAGCTTCCTAGGAGAACAGAGGCAGTGCAGGGGCGCCAAGGGCAGAGGGAGCTGCCGCCCCTAGTTGCACCAACTGCCTGTGCCTCAGGACCTGCTTGAATACAATTTTGTTTGGAAGATTTCCATGCAATGAGAGAGTGCTGATTATAGAGTGTGCCTGCGCTGATGGCTTGAGGATCAGACCACACAAACTTTGTGATGTGCAGCACTCAGAGTACCACATCCCCATGTGATGGAGTGGGTGGGAAAGCCAGGGACTGTGTCTGGATGGGAGAAGTGATGTGTAGAAGGGACAACTGCTTGGCTCCCACACCTCGGCGACTGGCCTGTGATTCCCCCATGAGCCTCTCAGAGGCCCTATACAGAGTGCTTGTTTCCCCCGACACTTTGGGTACCAGCGGCCATGCTGGTCCTCACAGCCTGCCATGTAATGTAGCCTCCGTGTCCCCACAGCCTCCCGTGCGATGTAGGCTCCGTGTCCCCATAGCCTGCCATGCAACGTAGGCTCCGTGTCCCCACAGCCTGCTGTGTGACATAGGCTCCATGTCTTCACAGCTTGCCTTGTGACGTAGGCTCCGTGTCTTCACAGCTTGCCTTGTGACGTAGGCTTCGTGTCTTCACAGCTTGCCTTGTGACGTAGGCTCCGTGTCCCCACAGCTTGCCTTGTGACGTAGGCTCCGTGTCCCCACAGCTTGCCTTGTGACGTAGGCTCCGTGTCCCCACCGCCTGCCTTGTGACGTAGGCTCCGTGTCCCCACAGCCTGCCTTGTGACGTAGGCTCCGTGTCCCCACAGCCTGCCTTGTGACGTAGGCTCCGTGTCTTCACAGCTTGCCTTGTGACGTAGGCTCCGTGTCCCCACAGCCTGCCTTGTGACGTAGGCTCCGTGTCTTCACAGCCTGCCTTGTGACGTAGGCGCCGTGTCTTCACAGCTTGCCTTGTGACGTTGGCTCCGTGTCCCCACAGCTTGCCTTGTGATGTAGGCTCCGTGTCCCACAGCTTGCCTTGTGACGTAGGCTCCATGTCCCCACAGCTTGCCTTGTGACGTAGGCTCCGTGTCCCACAGCTTGCCTTGTGACGTAGGCTCTGTGTCCCACAGCTTGCCTTGTGACGTAGGCTCCGTGTCCCCACCGCCTGCTATGTGACGTAGGCTCCGTGTCCCCACCGCCTGCTATGTGACGTAGGCTCCGTGTCCCCACAGCCTGCCTTGTGACGTAGGCTCCGTGTCCCCACCGCCTGCTATGTGACGTAGGCTCCGTGTCCCCACCGCCTGCTATGTGACGTAGGCTCCGTGTCCCCACCGCCTGCTATGTGACGTAGGCTCCGTGTCTTCACAGCCTGCCTTGTGACGTAGGCTCCGTGTCTTCACAGCCTGCCTTGTGACGTAGGCTCTGTATCTTCACAGCCTGCCTTGTGACGTAGGCTCCGTGTCCCCACAGCCTGCCTTGTGACGTAGGCTCCGTGTCTTCACAGCCTGCCTTGTGACGTAGGCTCCGTGTCTTCACAGCTTGCCTTGTGACGTAGGCTCCGTGTCCCCACAGCTTGCCTTGTGACGTAGGCTCCGTGTCCCCACCGCCTGCTGTGTGACGTAGGCTCCGTGTCCCCACCGCCTGCTGTGTGACGTAGGCTCCGTGTCCCCACCGCCTGCTGTGTGACGTAGGCTCTGTGTCCCCACAGCTTACCTTGTGACGTAGGCTCCGTGTCCCCACCGCCTGCTGTGTGACGTAGGCTCCGTGTCCCCACCACCTGCTGTGTGACGTAGGCTCCGTGTCCCCACAGCTTGCCTTGTGACGTAGGCTCCGTGTCCCCACCGCCTGCTGTGTGACGTAGGCTCCGTGTCCCCACAGCTTGCCTTGTGACGTAGGCTCCGTGTCCCCACCACCTGCTGTGTGACGTAGGCTCCGTGTCCCCACCGCCTGCTGTGTGACGTAGGCTCCGTGTCCTATGTCTCTTTAAAAATGCAGAACCACTCTTAGCTCACGGGCTGCAGGCCAGATGTGGCCGATGGGCACAGCATGTTGGCCCTAGGCCTGAGTCTTGATGGAGGTCTGCAGCATGAACGTGTACTGCTGGCCTTGCCAGGTGACAGTGCATGGCTTCTGGTGGCCCTTCAGATTGGCGATGTGAGACCAAATTGCTGGATCAGTTTTCAGATTGGAAGCCGGGGCCTGCATGGGTGTATAGATGTGCCATGTGACAGCAGCATTTCTGAAGTAACTGCAGTGGGGGTTGCCCACCTGATGAAGGTGATGGTCAGGTACTGCCATTCTCCAAGGACCTGCTGCTACCACCCAGGCCAAACAGCTGGGTTCAGTGGGGAATGGCAGAAGGCAGCATCCAGCCTCCTTCACAGCCTCAATAGCATGCCTAGCTCTCCATCCCACCAACATCGCAGTGTTGCTTTCGGTTGACTTTTGATCCGTGAGGGAACGTCCCGGGCTTCCATCTGGTCCTTGCTGTCCTGCCAGTGCCAGGTTTGTCTGTTCCAACACACATACAGGGACTGGAGAAATGAGCCCAGGTTGGATACCCTGACCCCACTGTGCCCTCTGAGGTGGACCTGGGTCACAGCTTCTGGGTCCTGCTTGGCCATAGACCCTGTGATGTGTTGGGCCCAGCAGGATTGGCATTGATTCAGGGTCTGGGTAGTTCCCTCTCCCCATGGTCATCTGTCCTATAAAATAGCCGTGTGTCCTTCTCCAGGGGGACCTGGGTTCCCCTAAACCGAGGAGCTGTAGGCCTGTGAGCTGGCTTCGCTGAAGAGCTGAGGGAGACCGCGCCTCTGCACTGTGGTCATCGGGCCAGCTTTCTGTCTCCACCCGGAGCCCTTCTGGCACGTGGAGCGGGGGCTGAGCAGCCTGCCTGTCTTGTTCTCTCTTGGCCTCTGCTGCAGCTCCATCTGGGCTAGACTACTCTGACTGGCATCTCATGCCTGTGCCCACTTTGTCTCTGAAGCTCACGGCCCGTGAGCCCCTGACACCCCCACTTCTCAGCACCCCCTTCCTGTTGGGGCAGCTGCCTCTTACAATGCCAGCACCACCTCCTGCTGTCTCCTGGCCGGCAGAGCTTGTCAGAGGTGTCCCTCACCAGTGCCTGAGGATACGAGACCTGGTGTCATCCTTGTCTTGCTCATCGGCCTTGCTGCTGTCTGCAGTCAGTCTCTGCCCCCTGCACACCCAGGCCATGGGATCTGTGCATGGTGCCGTCCCTAAGGCATTAAAAGGCCAGCGAGGCAGCATCTTCAGGCATCCTGGTGTCTACCCTGAAGAATGCCTGCATCAGGTGAGCACTCAGTGAGGCTGTCTTTGTCCTCATCCATCTTGCTCAGCTTGTGCCAGACTCAGATGGCTGCAGGCTCCAAAAATAGCCCCATCTTAATGTGCTGTTGATGCAGCCCTGGAATCAGCTGGGGATCAGATTATGTCTCCCGGGCAGGGCATTGTTCGCCCTTTAGCCAGGCTGACTGGAGCTACTATTCATGCTCACAAAGGCTCTAATCCCCTTTGAGTTCCTGTAAGCCTTTTGCCTGGTAACCCCTTCCAGCGGGCAGCATACCCGTGGCTGCAGTTGGCTTCGTGAGTATGCCTCCCTCCCTTCATTTGATTATCTCTTTATCTCATTAAGGGCCTTTAACACTTGTGTTAACATGTAAAAAGTAGGTAGTGGCATCAAATTGGCTTTAAAGACACAACTTGGAATTTTCTCTTTCAAAGCAGGGGCCTGCTGTGGGAGTCAGGGGGCTCCGTTCATTCTGGACCTCAGTCCAGTGAGCCGTTTGAACTTGGAACAGTCAGTGGCTTCACTGGGCCTCAGTTTCCTCATTAGTGAAATGAAGGGGCTGTGTTCATTCAGCATGATGTCGGAGTTCCCTTCCAGCCCAGGTGTCCTGTGGTTCTCTGACTTCTCTTGGCGTGGTTTCTGTGGGCAGTGCTGCTGTGATTTGTGTAATAGGCCTGGGTTTATGTGGCAGCCTTGATCCCTGCCCTCCGCCAGCTCCAAGTCATTGGAATATTAATTCCGCAGAGGAAGTTACATTACAGGACCTCAGTTCAGCAGCGTGTGAAAACGGATAAAAGATGAAATGCCTCCCCGCTTATTACAGCATTTTCCTTCTGAAGATCAGGCTTTCCTTCTTGAAAGCTCTTTAGTTTCTTTGATAGCTGCTGGATGTGTGTTGAACGCTCTGTTGAGATCTACACAGCCACAGTAATCCTCAGAGTTTCAGAGCCAATGAGTGTGTCTCCATGGCGCTTCTTCCTTAGTGCTGTTTACCTTCCATTTCATCTGCTTCGGAGGATGTGGAGAGTTTCTGGAGGTACGAATGCCTACCGTATTTCCTGATCCTCAAGCACACTCCCTATTCAGCAAGGTGTGCGGCTTTGTTCATTTCTGTGGGCAGGGATGTCAGAGACACACATCAGAGGATGTCCTGGTCTTCCTCAAGGTGATTCTGGTGTTCACATGCTTCATTAAGGCACTTTGAACTCACCTCATACCCACCAGGTTTTTAGACTGAGTTCTAGAAGGACAATTTTATAATCTTTCAGAAAATCTAAGTAAATTTTTCAAATGCTAGAAATTTCATTAACTTTTTTCCTTTTACCGATTTTTAGAAAAATGCATTGGTTCAGTCGTGCAAAGGAATGGGGTGCAGTTTTCTTTTGGTGTCCCGTGAACTCACACGTGGTTGACTTAGGTGATGTTTCCACCCACTGCACTTCCGTCTTGTGATCTTTGCTGCCCCAGGGACGCTTCCTTCTGGCCCCTGCCTTTGCCACTTCCCTAGCAGTGTTGGAACCTTCTTTATTTGCCGTTCACAGGAAAGTCTTAATCTCGTTCATCTGAGGCATGGCAAGCTGAAATGATTAGGACGTTCATTGTGATATGGAAGCAGCCTGGATGTCCATCCGTAGAAGAACAGATAAAGAAACATGGTGCAAATGGAGCACTGCTCAACCCTAAGAAAGAAGGACATTCTGCCGTTCGCAGCAGCATGGATGAACCTAGAGGTCTTCAGTGAAACAAGCCAGGCACAGAAAGTCAGATACCACACAATCTCACATGCAGACTAAAAAAGCTGAAGTCACAGAAGCAAAGTAGAAAGTGGTAGCAGAGGCTGGCTGGGAGGGCAGATGGGGAAAAGGGAGATCCTTTGGTGAAAGGATACAAAGTTTCAGTTAGGTGGAGGAGTGCCTTCAAGAGGTCTATGGGATGCCTTTGTGACTGCAGTTAGTAACAATGTGTCATGGTAACTGAAATTAGAAGCAATGTATCATCCTTGAAACTTGTTAAGAGAGTAGATTTCAAGTGTCTTCACAACAAAAAATGGTAAGTATGTAAGGTAATGCAAATATGAATTGGCTTGACTTAACCATTCTACAGTGTAACACATTTCAGAACATTATGTTGTATACTATAGATATATGCATTTTAGAATTTATCCATTAAATAAGTTCCTGGTGCTACAGCATCATTTGTTGGGGACACAGAGCCGTATGGAAACACTGGGTCCCAGGCCTCTGTGTGGTGTTACTGGGGCAGGGAACCTGGCGGAAGAGCTGGGTCCGGCACACGTGCTGCATCCTGGAGAGGGTGCTGGCCACACCATGCTGCATGCTCTTGCCCCGTGAGCCTGGCACACCTGGGTGGTGAGATGTGAGATGGACTTATTACCTGGCATCCCCCATGCCCCACTTGAGCTGGAGGACAGTTGGACACTTTTGAGTTGCTGGGCATCTGTGTGTGCAGGCTTGTGTTCAGCAGACCTGGACATGTCTGGGGATTACCCTTTGCCCAGGGAATGCCATTCAGGAAGATGGCAGTGGGTCCCTTTGGGTACAGACTGGAGTGGTCACTGCAGTGTACACCTGCCTTAGGGCTGCAGGTTCCTAACTCGGGAGGAATCTGACCATCTTTACAGTCACTGGGTTCCAGCTCTGAAGCTGGCTCAAATCAGGAACTGGGTAAGGGATCATGACTGTTAGTGCAGGGACTTCCCTCAGCTTTCTGCTCATTCATCTTTAATATGCACGTACGTTATGTGTGTTTGTATGCACGTGTGTGTGTCAGGCAGGCAGTCCCTTGGATGCCTGTGTGTCTCGCCCCTGGGAATACCATCTTTACCGACTGTATCCACAGCCCTGTGCCAGTGGAGCCTTCTTGGCCGGCACTCTGGTCTCCATGGTCATTGTGATAATTGGCACCCCCGGGCTTCTGGCAGTTAACATACCGTCTCCCGACCACAATTACTTGGGCTGGATTTAACTGCCTGAGTCAGAAAGCTGCCACAAAGCATATTATGAGTAAGTCAAGCTTTGTGACAGCTTCTCCTAAGAGTGGAATTATTGGGACATCTGGTGAGTGAAAGTTCCACTGGAAAAGTGTGTACTGTTTTACACTCTTATTTCAGTCTGTGAGAGATCCAGTTACTGGACATCTTTGCCAATACTTGGTATTATTGGTCTTTTTAAAATTAAAACGTAGCTGTTCTGGTAAGATGTGCGGTGAGTCTCATTGGGTTTTGCCTTTTCCAGTTAATGATGTTGAGCATCTTTTCTGGTGCTTGTTGACCATTCATATATTTTCTTTCGTGAAGTGTCTGATTTGGTGTTAGGCACATTTTTAAAAACTGGGTTGTTTTATTATTAAGCTGGAGGAGCTCTTTATGTATTCTGGATATAGGCCTTTTGGTAGATATATGTGTTATGAATATCTCCCCCAGTATTGCTTCATTTTCTTCGTATTTTCTATTTTAAGTTTTTTTGAGATGGAGTCTTGCTCTGTCACCCAGGCTGGAGTGCAGTGGCATGATCTTGGCTCACTGCAACCTCCATCTCCTGGATTCAAGCAATTCTCCTGCCTCAGCCTTCCAAGTAGCTGGGGTCACAGATGCCCACCACCATGCCTGGCTAATTTTTGTATCTTTAGTAGAGATGGGGTTTCACTATGTTGGCCAGGCTGGTCTCGAACTCCTGACCTCAGGTGATCCACCCACCTCGGCCTCCCAAAGTTCTGGGATTACAGGGGTGAGCCACCATGCCTGGCCAGTGCTTCCTTTCTTTAACAATGTCTTTCTAAAAGCAGAGTTTTTTAATTTTGATTTTAAAGAAGTTTTAGATTTTTATGAAGTCCAAGTAATAGTGTCTTTTGGTGAATAGAAGTTCTTAATTTTAGTCTTTTTCTGTATGATCCTGTCTTTTTTCCCCTACCATTTAAGAAGTCTTTGCCTGTCCCAAGGTCAAGAAGATATTCTATGTAGTCTAGAAAAGACTTGTATTATTTTATCTTTACATCTATTGATTGATTGATTGATTGATTGATTGAGACAGAGTTTTGCTCTTTTTACCCAGGCTGGAGTGCAATGGCAGGATCTCGGCTCACCGCAACCTCCGCCTCCTGGGTTCAGGCAATTCTCCTGCCTCAGCCTCCTGAGTAGCTGGGATTACAGGCACGCGCCACCATGCCCAGCTAATTTTTTGTATTTTTAGTAGAGACGGGGTTTCACCATGTTGACCAGGATGGTCTCGATCTCTTGACCTCGTGATCCACCCGCCTCTGCCTCCCAAAGTGCTGGGATTACAGGCGTGAGCCACCGTGCCCGGCCTTATCTTTACATCTTTATGATCAGTTTGCAATTGGTTTTTGAGTATGTTATCAGGTAGGATACAAGTTTATTTTCTTTCATGTGGATGTACAATTGATCCAGCATCATTTATTGAAAAGACCGTCCCTTCTCCACTCTAATTGAATGTTATTTTTGTAGTAAATCAAGTGACCATCTTTCTAAGGGTCTGTTTCTAGACTCTGTTCTCTTCCCCTGGACTGCTTATCAAATTTTATGCCAATACTAAACCGATCTGATTTGTAAACCATCCAGTTTCCTTGTTGTTCTTCTTCGTGACTGTCTTAATCTATCTGGGCTGTCCACATTTCCATACAGATTCTAGAATTTTAAAAGCAGGTTGTTAATTTCCACCAAAAACCACCAGCTCAGAGCTGATTGAAGCACATGGAGTTTTTACAGTACCGACTTCCTCAATCCGTGAGCATGGTCTATCCCTTCCATTTATTTTGGTTTTTAATTTTTTTCAGCAGTGTTCTTCGTTTTAGCATGTACAGATTCTTACACATATTTAGTTTGAGATGTTATTTGATTTTTTAATGCTATTGGTAATATTTTTAAAAATTTCATTTTCAAAGTTTTTGTTGCAATAGATATTCAATTGGTTTTTCTTGTCAAATATTTTTTGTAGCTAAAAATTTTGTTGAATTCAGTTTTTTTTTATAATGGCATAGTGTAGATTCTTTTAAATTTTCTACACATATAATCATTAGCAAGGTATTTTTATTTCCTTTTTTATACTCATGTATCTTTATTTTTTTGCCATACTTAAATAGTTACACCTCTAGTATAATGTTAACTGAACATTAACACATATATATGTTATGTTTGTGTGTATGAATATGTATGTGTATATGTATATATGTATGTGTGTATATGTATGTGCACAGACACATTTTGCTAGAAGAGTATGTATGCTTGCTGTTCTTATTTGTTTCTTTAAATAGATGCTTGGAAGAATGGGGAAAATTATATGAGCCTAGTGGATTTTTTTGTAGAAAATGTTTTTGTTTTAAGTTCTGACATATATGTACAGAGTGTGCAGGTTTGTGGCATAGGTATACATGTGCTGTGGTGGTTTGCTGCATCAACCTGTCATCTAGATTTTAAGCCTTGCGTGCATGAGCTATTTGTTCCCGATGCTCTCCCTCTCCTTGCCCCTCACCCCACGACCGGCCCTGATGTGTGATATTCCCCTCCCTCTGTCCATGGTTCTGATTGTTCGACTTCCATTTACGAGTGAGAATGTGGCGGTGTTTGGTTTCCTGCTCCTGTGCTACTGTGATGAAGATGATGGCTTCCAGCCTCATCCATGTCCCTACAATGGACATGGTCTCATTCCTTTTCATGGCTGCATAATATCTCATTGTAAAAAGTTTCTGCATTAGAGTCATTTTCTTTAATACATATCAGTCTATTTAGAGTTATTATGTCTTCTGGTATCCATTCTGTTAAGTTCAGACTTTTCTAGAAATGTACCATGTCATCTGGTTTTTAAATATTTTTAATATAAAGGTGTCTGTGGCATCTTCGGATGACATTCATAAAATACTTGTATGTTCCATAATGATGTCCACCTTTTTATTTCTGACCTCCATAGTTTATGCTTTTGGAAGAGATATTCAACATTTTTTTTTTTTTTTTTTTTTTAGCTACTCTCGGTTCCCTGTTTATCCTCTTCTGGAGGTGGCCTGGTGCCACTAGTTCCCTGAGCTTATGGACAATATGAATGAGATTGTGTCTAAGCTTTCCCCACTGCTCTCCTAGGGTTCACTTTGCTTGGTCTGCTCAGCTATTTGGTACTGAGCCATTTGCTTTCCTGCTTCCAAAATGTCATTGCTCTTCTTATTCCTCATGGTTTTATGTCTTTAAAGAAAATAGGAACAAAAACCCCTCTTTGTGACAACATTAGAATGGTTTCAGAATGGAGCGAAAGTTGAAGTGTGTGTAGATTCTGTTAACCATACTGTTTTGGAGGTTGCTCTGTTGCCTTCTCTACTCTTCTCAGTTGGTGGACTCTGGGGAGAGGAGCAATAGCGCTCGATTAACCGGGTGTGTGGAAACTTCACTGTCCAGCTAGTCACTTAAACTTCATCTCCGGTGTAGACTTTGGAGCGAGGTAGCTTCCCTGAGAGTGGAAAATCTTATTTCATGTGCAGCACTTTTGCTTTATTGAGGGTAATGTGCATGTGGTTAAGGAGTTTGGCGAGCTGACAGTCACTTTCTTTACACCTGAACAGAGTTCTCCAAAGAAGGAATTTGTTGGGGCTGTGTGGGGTGTCTGCCATTAGTCATTTCTTCCACAGAATAGCTATTTTTCGTATCCTCTGTCTTTGCCATCTTGTGTGTTTCATTCATTTTGCAGTCCAGCCACAATTTAGTGCTCCTGTTATTAGTTCTATCACTTGTAAGATTAGACATTTATTTGTCTGTCATTTAGAAAGATTGAGATAACCTACACCTGTTTTGGGTTAGCGTGCACCGGTGAGTTAGGCATTCAACTTTTCTCTCCCACTCCAAGTGGCCAACTTCAACTTTGTCTTTGGTTGTTTTCGTGTTTCCAGGAGTGCCGTTGCCAATCTCACGGGCTCTATAGAAAGACCATGTAATTGAAAATTTCAGCAAGAAAAACAAAGCAAATAAAAAATAATAAAGATTCTCTCACACCAGCACTTTGGGAGGCCGAAGCGGGTGGATCACGAGGTCAGGAGATCGAGACCATCCTGGCCAACATGGTGAAACCCCATCTCTACTAAAAAATACAAAAATTAGCTGGGCATGGTGGTGCGCACCTGTAGTCCCAGCTACTTGGAAGGCTGAGGCAGGAGAATTGCTTGAACCTGGGAGGTGGAGGTTGCAGTGAGCCAAAATCCTGCCACTGCACTCCAGCCTGGTGCCTGGCAACAGAGAGAGACTCTGTCTCAAAAAAAGAAAAAGAAAAAAAAAAAACACTCTCTTGTAGACAGAAACCACTGTACACCCCATTTTTATAAAGTTGGAAATTTTACCATTATATGAATATATGATACATTTCTTTTCTTTAAGCCCCAATTGCATGTTCTTTTAGAACCAACCGATAAAATGGGCACTGAATTTGGAATCAGAAAATCCTGGTTGAAATGTTAGTCTTTTAACTTCTTATCCTCTGATCATGGTTAACAACGGTAATACTAGTATTCCCAAAGGTGGATGTTTTGTCATTGTGTGTGTTGCTATACTTCTTGGTGAATGGATGTTCACATTGCAGGAGGGTCACCACCAATAAGTGATACATTTTCGAGTGTAACATAAGGTCGTTGTCATTTTGTAATGCCATACTATTTTTCTTGTACTACTCATGGGATTTTTTAAATGTTCTGATATATTTTTATATTCTTCATATTAATTGAGGATTTAATGTTGAATCATGTTTGCTGTTTTATAATTATTCACTAAAGCCCATCTTTAAAAGGGAGAAGTGTTTAGCACATATTTAATTTAAAACTAAATGGAAAGCAAATCCTGAAAGGATTTTTAAATTTATATCTGATTAAAAAAATTTTTTTTTAGTGTATTACATTGAGAAATTTTCTAGAGAGGCAGAGACCTAGAGCCTGGCACCTTCCTGAAAACAAGTGACCTGTCTTTCTAATGGAAGGTTAGTCTCAAAGTGGCTTTTCTAGGTACTCTAGATTCCTGGAGCATCTTAAAAATAGAGTGTCAAGACTCAGGGAGACTGAACAGCCGCCAGCAGGACCACGTGAGGACAGGACTCTCATTTCTAGGAGAAGGGGCTGTTTTGATGGTGACAGGGTGAGGCTGCGCTGCTGCCTGCTCCTGCCTGCTGTCTGCCAGGGCTCCGGGCCTCTACCTGCAATGCCTCTGAATGGTGTTACCTTCCTGTCCCAGGCACTCATCACTATAGGTAAACCGAGGCAGGGTAGCATGAGTGACAGGATTTCCCAATGGCATATTGCTCAGTGTGCTTCCTAGTCATTTACGGTGCTCTTGTGCAGCTATGAGGAGAAAACGCATTTAATGCCGACTCAGACACCCGCAGCGTGTGTGCTGATTATATCTTTAGTCCCCCATTTTGCTCCCTTTTTTTGAAGAGCTATTGAAGAAGAATGAAAGGAAATCAATTGTGAGAAAATTAAATTTTCTTTTGAAACAGAATGATGGTTTTTAAAACAAAGAGAACGTGGGGGAACTGGATGCTGGTTACGCACCGTGCCGGGTTCTGCCTGCTGACTTGGGCTGCGCTTCTCCCTGCTCTGTCTTTGCTGCCTGCAATCGTAAATATTTTAAAGAGCAGATGCGCCCTGCTTATGGATGTGTGTAAATGTCCGTGTGCTGTCTGCAGAATTCGGAGCACAGTGTGCTCTGTTGACGTTATCCATTATGCTCTGTTGCTCAGCTTCAGACAGCAAAGTCCTGACATGTGCAGCCGTGTGGAGGATGCCGAAGGAATTGGAATCAGGCAGCCACGAGTCCCCTGACGATTCATCCAGCACTGCGCAGACCCTGGAGCTGCTCTGTCACCTTGACAACACAGCCCACGGCAACATGGCCTGGTAGGAGTTTGCATATTTAATGCACCCAGAACGAGCCTGCAGGTTGGCCAGGTGCAGGAGCTTGCGCAGATTCCTCTGTGGGAGTTACCATCCACGCTTCGAAAATGCTTCCTTCTTCTAAAAAGCTGCTAGAATTTGATTTTTAATTTTAGTCCCAGTGTTTTCTAGATTGGCCACATTGACAGAAATGTGGCAAGCGCACCTCTGTCCCCTCTGTCTCCTCTTTGTCTAAGATGAATGTTGCCCTTGGGGACTTGCCAGAGGGTAAATGGTCAGGCGCTGCCCTGCCCTCGAGTGCTGTGATGCTTTTCAACTTGGTCCATGTGCGTTTATTCAGCACTCGCAGGTATATTATTCACCATTTCGGGTTGCCGGCACGTAATCCCTTCCTCCTGTGGACAGAGCATGAATGCGCAGTGTGCCTGAGGGGCTGCGTGCCCCAGCCCGCCCGTCAGGCATGCAGCCTATTACTCATGGGGGTCCCCGGCCAGTCGCTACCTCATGAGGTTGGAGGCCTGGCTGTGTCCACCGATTGGTCAGTCCCAGGGACCCCTCCCCAGCAGTCACAACTGCTCTCTCTGAAGTCCCTGAGGCCTGGGTAAAAATGCAGAAGCCATGTTTTCTAAAAGCTATTGCAGGGCATAATGTTGTTATGAGTGTTCAGACAAACAGTGATTATTGTTTCACTTAACGTAGTAACACGTGCGCATGTGTGTGTGTGTCGGCAAGAGACTCGTTTGTACAGTGACTTCTGTCTAGTCAGTTCTACCATTTAAATACATTAAATACAACAAATACTTACTAAACACCTGCCATGCAAACCCTGCCAGGCTCCAGGGACACCAAGGTGGCAAGTTAGAGGACCTGGCCTCCAAGAGTCATGATCTCCATGGGGAGACCCAGCATGTAAACCTCTAACTGGGTGGGACCAGCCATGATGTACCCCGAAATCATGCTGAACTGTGCACTGTGGCCCTGGAGGGTGCAGGCATTGATTGTTATTAAGGGAACTGAGGAGGGATTTGCTTAGAGGTAGCGTTTGGACTGAGGACCGACTCAGGTTTCCCCCGTCAGGTGCGAGGAGAGCAGTCTGTAGGCCAGGCGGTCTGTGGCTCTGGAATGCCCTGTGTGTCTCTGTTTGTGGTGGACTCATTTTTATACTGATTGTGCTTCCACCAGGCCAGTGGATATTTCTTCTTCTGGAGACGCACTGAGTATTAAAATCACAGCCAGTCTTGCAGAGTAAGCGGGGGCAGATGAAGAGTCCCAAAGTGCCCAGGAGTGATGGCCTCACTGCCTGAATGCAGGATTTCTGTGCAGACCACATGGCACATTTCAGATGATGGCCACATGCTCAGCAAACAGACGTGTGTGTGCATGTGTGCGTGCATGCGTGCGCGTGCATGCATGTGCATGCACGTGTGTGCGTGCATGCATGCGTGCGTGTGCCTGCATGTGTGTGTGCGTGCATGTGTGTGTGCATGTATGCGCACATGCACTTGTGGACACATTTGTGCTTGTGTCTCTGCACACATGTATGTGCACACAGGTGTGTGTGTGTGTTCATGTGTGTACACATGTTGCAGGAGACACGGGCACCAGGGAGCAGATGAGTAAGATTCTGTGCAGGTCAGCAGGCACGTTAGAGAGATCAGCATGTGTAGAGGGTGGCAGTCCTGCTGGGATGTGCAGAGACAGGTGAGCTCAGAAAAGGGACCTTGGCCCTGCCTGGGAACAAGGGGCTGTCAGACTGCTTCTCAGCTTCCTACCTTATGCAGACACTATCACATACACGATACAGAAAGACAGGCCACGTGGGTGTGTGTCATGGGGAACTGATGATTAGATTGTGATGTTAAATAGCATCGTGCCTACACACACTTATGAACATAGTTGTTGAAGGCTGGGAGCAGTGGCTCACGCCTGTCATCCCAGCACTTTGGGAGGCCAAGGTCAAGAGTTTGAGACCAGCCTGGCCAACATGGCAAAATCCCATCTCTACTAAAAATACAAAAATTAGCCAGGTGTGGTGGCAAGTGCCTGGAATCCCAACTACTTGGGAAGCTGAGGCAGGAGAATCACTTGAATCTGGGAGGTGGACTTTGCAGTGAGCTGAGATCATGCTACTGTACTCCAGCCTGGGTGACAGAATGAGACTCCATCTCAAAAAAAAAAAAAAAAAGAAAGTAGTTGTTGATATTAAACAGGCAGCTTCAACTATCCTCCTCACAGTTACCATGAATGCCATTTTTTTTCTGATTTTGCCTCTATTTATCCAAAATATTTCTTGAATTGGATTTGGTTACCCAGTGTATTATTGCATATTCTTTTTTCTCTGAAGCTTTTTATTTTGAGGTTGTCAGTTCTCATGCAGCTGTAGGAATAACAGAGCGATCCTGTGACCCTTCAGCCAGTTTTCCCCAGTAGTAACATTGCGTAACTGTGGTACAGCATAACAAGCAGGAAATTGGCGTAGATACAGTCCACTGAGCTTACACAGATCCACCTGCTTACATGCATTTGCGTGTGAACATTGACTTCTAGGCCGTGTATTGTGTGTGGGGGTTTGTGTAGCCGCCACCAGAGTCAAGACACAGAACAACTCCAGCGCCAGGGTCCCTTGTGCTGCCTTATTTATAGCCACAGCCACCTCCCGTCCCCTGCCCAGGCCTTCGCCCCTGGCCACCCCGAATCTGTACTCTGTCTCTGTATTGTTATTTGGAGAACATTCTGAGAATGGAGTTACACACAGTGTAACCTTTGATAATTGATGATCTTCACTCAGCTCGATTCCTTGGAGGTTGAGTTGTTGCTTCATTTTCAAGTTTGGTTTCCAGCCGCCGTGCGTGCCGGTCAGTGGCCCGTTCTTTCCAGCCGCCGTGCGTGCCGGTCAGTGGCCCGTTCTTTCCAGCCGCCGTGCGTGCCGGTCAGTGGCCCGTTCTTTCCAGCTGCAGTGTGTGCCGGTCAGTGGCCCGTTCTTTCCAGCTGCAGTGTGTGCCGGTCAGTGGCCCGTTCTTTCCAGCTGCAGTGCGTGCCGGTCAGTGGCCCGTTCTTTCCAGCTGCAGTGCGTGCCGGTCAGTGGCCCGTTCTTCTTTCCAGCTGCAGTGTGTGCCGGTCAGTGGCCCGTTCTTTCCAGCTGCAGTGTGTGCCGGTCAGTGGCCCGTTCTTTCCAGCCGCCGTGCGTGCCGGTCAGTGGCCCGTTCTTCTTTCCAGCCGCCGTGCGTGCCGGTCAGTGGCCCGTTCTTTCCAGCCGCCGTGCGTGCCGGTCAGTGGCCCGTTCTTCTTCACAGCCGCCGTGTGTGCCGGTCAGTGGCCCGTTCTTTCCAGCCGCCGTGCGTGCCGGTCAGTGGCCCGTTCTTCTTCACAGCCGCCGTGCGTGCCGGTCAGTGGCCCGTTCTTTCCAGCCGCCGTGCGTGCCGGTCAGTGGCCCGTTCTTCTTCACAGCCGCCGTGCGTGCCGGTCAGTGGCCCGTTCTTTCCAGCTGCAGTGTGTGCCGGTCAGTGGCCCGTTCTTCTTCACAGCCGCCGTGCGTGCCGGTCAGTGGCCTGTTCTTCTTCGCAGCCGCTGTGTGAGCCAGTTGGTGGTCCATTCTTCTTTCCGGCCACTGTGTGAGCTGGTCGGTGGCCCATTTCTTTTTTCCAGCCACTGTGTGAGCTAATTGGTGGCCTGTTCTTCTTTCCAGCCGCCGTGTGAGCCGGTTGGGGGCCTGTTCTTCTTTTGGGCCGCCATGTGAGCTGGTCGGTGGCCCATTTCTTTTTTCCAGCCACTGTGTGAGCTAGTCGGTGGCCCGTTCTTCTTTCCAGCCGCCGTGTGAGCTAGTCGGTGGCTCGTTCTTCTTTGCAGCCACTGTGTGCACCGGTCAGTGGCCTGTTCTTTTTTCCAGCTGCCATGTGAGCTGGTCCGTGGCCCATTCTTCTTTCCAGCCGCCATGTGAGCCAGTCAGTGGCCCATTCTTCGCTGCTGTGTGGTGTTCTGTGGCATGGCACACCGCAGTTGGTTAAGCATTTACCCATTGAAGGGTATCTGGGTTTTTCCTTGTTTTTGGCTAAAGCTGTAGAAAATATCAACGAACAGGCTTTTGCGTGAACATAGGCTTTATTTCTCTTGGCTCAGTTCGTTTTGTAAGGAGCATGCCATGGCAGAGCATGAGGGCCCCTCCTCTCTGCGCCCTGCCCAGCATTTGGTGTTGTCGTGCATGTTCTTTTAAGTATCTTCCATGTGCTAAAGTGTTAGGATTAGACAGGGAATTTGATTTTGGGGAACATCAGTCTGGTGACTACAGCACAGGTGAAGGCTGCCGTTTGGGGTCAGGCTCCAGGTGCCTGCTGGTAGTTTTGTTTTTGACATATAAATTGGCACCAAGAACAGCTCCAGGAGGCACTACTGCACAAAGCTTCTGGCCACCAGGGCATGCCCAAGAATGCCACACGGTTCCCCCACCTCATGTTGCCACCGCTCCAGCCACCTTCACGGCCACTGTGCATGCGCCCTGCAGACCAGAGCTGTGCCTCACACCCAAGGGAATGATGTCAGGGACTCTTGTCCTCCCAGCTGTTTCAGCTTTTGCCTGTCTGGAGCAATCGATGTGCTCAATGTGGCACCCCTCCTGTGTCTGTTTCAGCACTCTAACAAGCAGAGGTTGAGCAGAGCACCCAGCTGGCCAACCCTCTGATGGCCTTTAGCTCCTGCTAGTGGGAACAGTGAAGGCCGAGGAAGGAACTCACAGAGCCTTGTGACCTGGTGGGCCCCACTGAGCACCAATCAGACATGCTTCGAGTGAGGCAGCCTCTGGAAGCAGACAGACTTGCCGGGAAGGTCTGAGCCTGGTTTCTCATCCTTCCCCGCTCCTGTGGGCAGTGGGGTCTCCAGGAAGTCACTCGTTCTCTAGCTCAAACCTTCATCCCTGAAATGAAAGTGATGTTGTGCAGCTGCTGGTTGTGTGGCAGAGCCTCTATGTGACCACTCAGAGTCAAACTGTAAAATCTTTGCAGAAGTATATT